TTCACCAGTATTGTAAAAAAAAAATTCTATATTTTTGGGGTGGGGGGTGGGGGGTATTTTTTTAAAGTTCATAATTTGAAATTCATTGACTTACATCTACTCCATAGTTAACCCATTTTGTTCAAACAATAAAGAAAGAGAGCATACAGGACAATCCCCTGCTGTGAGATATATTACAATTTTCAAAGTTCAGGGAAGAGTTACATTTATAAATAAAAGTTGTTAGTAATGTCAATGGCAAACTTAAATTTTCACTACCTCAGGATGCATCCATATCAATATTATTAATCATGGCTTTGCTGTTCTTTAACAGAAGAATTTTAAAGTCCCCCCCCCCCCATGTATTCCTATAGATGTAAAATGCTCATCGCTCATCGTGGCCCCACCCTACCCATCCTAAAATTGAACAAATTTGAATCTACACTACCTGAGGATGCTTCTATAATAATATGACTAATCATGGCTTTGCTGTTCTTGAACAGAAGAATTTTTTTCAAGATGATTCCTATATATTCGTATGCGAAACTTTGACCCTCTGTTGTGTCCCCACCCCCATAATTTGAACAAACTTGAATCTACACTACCTGAGGATAACTTGATTCTACAATACCTAAGGTTGCTTCTGAATTAATATGACTAATAGTGGCAAAGCTGTTCTTGAGAAGAAGATTTTAAAAATTCCTACATAAAACTTTGCCCCCCTCTTGTGGCCCCCTGTACCCCCCCCCCCCCACCCTGGGGTTATGATATGAATAAACTTGGATGTACATGTAATGTAATTTGTAATGAAGCTTTTACATAACTTTCATCTTTTCTTGCCCAGCTAGTGGTTCTTGAGAAGAAGATCTTTAAAGATGCCACTAAATTTTCACGAACTCTTAACTATCTCTCCTTGAAAGAAGGCATGGCACTTTTTGAGAACAAACTTTAATCCCCTTCACCCAAGGATGCTTTGTCACATTTCCAAGTTTGTTTTAAATTGGCCCAGCAGTTCTTGAGAAGAAGTCGAAAAAGTTTACAGATGGCAGACGCTGGACACCCTTTGATCAGAAAAGCTCACTTGAGCCTTCGGCTTTTTTTTTTTTCTTTTCACATACCTTCATAATTGAAAATAAAAAATACTTATAAATAAGTTATTCAAAATTAAATAAAAGAAGCAAATGTGTAAAAGATGATATTGACAATACAATTTTTGTGAAATATAACATCAAGAACTTAAGAATTAAGAAATGTCTTTTCTCAGAGTGGGGGATTGTCCTCGTCTTGTACGCCTCCATTCTTTTTGTCCAAAAGAAAAATTTAGCAAAACATTCATTTGTAAAATTGAAGTTATGTACAGTATTCTAGCATACATGTACTAAATTAAAGGCCAGAAAACTGAGATCATGCATATTGTATACAGTGTATGAGCACATTGTAATAAAGAAGTAAAGTATACTTGATTATGCCTCTATTTATTTACATAATTTTTTTTTTATTTTGAAGGTTAAAAAAATTGGAGTACATTGTTATGATGACCAGACTCCAAGGCATTCATGTAATTGGGTGAATCACAGAGTTTCAGGAATCTTCTGGACTAGTAAGTTATACATGTATATACAAAATATTAAAATGTCTTTACTCTGTCTAAATTGCATACTTCAGGCTGGAATCTGAAAATAAAAATTGTATTTTCCATAATTCATACAGTATCTTGGTACATGTAGAATTGAAATTCATTCCTTAATTTCACTTCAATTACTTAACCATAAATTTTCATTCTCAAGAATTTTAATAACATTTAACATGTGTTTTATCATCTATTTCAGACCAAAAGTGATGGCTGAAAGAAATATTAACTGGTAGTCTAACTTAGTGATATGGACACTGGATAAGCCAGAAACCATTTTCAACAGAACTGTTAAGAGTGTAAATAAAAAAAAAAAACAAGATACCCACTCTCCAACTCATTCATAGCTTCATTCTTGGCTTCATTGTGTCGAATATGAGTCAAGACTTTTCTATTGTACCAAGGCTGAAAGGACTTTCAAACCATAAACAACAGCACCACAGAGCAGCTGACTTTCATTTCTTCTTCTGAATTTGCATGTTATATCCTTAATTATTACATTGTGAATTTACTTTGCACAGAAGAAGATGTAAATTATCTTAACTTCAACAAGTATTTACTTTGTTGGTTTCAGACACATAACTCAATTTATATTTGGTATTTTAAAAAAAAAGTAATTGGCAGCATTTACTGTGGAATCATCGTTGTTCTTGGGGGAGGATATAGGTGGGTCAAACATATCCACTAATTTATATTCCCACACATACTTATTTTTTCAACTTGTCAATTCATTGAATCTTTAACTTAATGTATTTCAAAGTTAACCTTATGAATTATGTGTCCACAAACCAGTTGAATTAAATGCCTGCCCATTAACAGCTGATTAATGCCCCCCCCCCCCCCCAAATAAAATGATTCCACAGTTTTTCAATTTTCAAAAAATACATGTACCGGTATCTGCAGGTACTTTGGGTGGTTTAATCATCTTTGCTTGTGCTGGTCTGTCTGATGTCTTCATCAGCTAGCTATTCTGTATCCTACAATTAAATTCTTGTTTCCAAAAAAAACAGCTTTAAAATGCTTTGTATTATTTATGCTTATTTAATTTTGTCTATAGTTTTTAATTATTTTTTTTTTTACTTAATGTTTGGAAAAAATAATATGAGAGGGATTTGACAAGAATTTATATTTCCTGCAAATATACATTTACATGTGTGTTATATAATTTTAATAGTTAGTATATAGGTCCCTGGTTACATTTTAAAAGTTCATATTCATGCAAAATCTACAGACATAATAAAAAATATATAAAATGTATTCCATGAGTACATGTTTGAGTGTGTCCTTGATCTTTGGTATTCTGGCATTTATTAATGGAAAGACTTGATATAAAATGTTTAAAATCTCTGGGCCCGAATTTACCCAATGCCGATACAGGAAGTTTTCGAAGGGCAAGGTCAAAATCCACTGGTGACGTAGTTTGATGCAGACTACAAGTCTTGTTTTGTACAAAGATTCAAAAAGTATTAACAAAGGGGGATATATGATGTGATAAGTGTTATAAGTAAAACGAATCCAGGAAGTGCATTCACGGGACATGTATAGAAGTGGCAAGATGTTTAATCGTGTTTACATTGAACTATATATATAAATATTGTGTTTGGGATTTACTCAATGCAAGGTAAAGTTGTAGATTTTGTTTACATTTACACTCTAGAACGTATTCGCTTACATGTTTTGGCAAAGCAGTCATGGCACTCTTGCTTGGTTGATATTTTGCAGCCTCGAATGTTTTTAACATTCAAACTTACGAATCCTTGAGTATATGAATTCAAATGGGTCGCGGTGTTTAGCTCCTTTAATCCTCATCTGTCAATTGATATGCAATGTATGCTGAAAACTCCGTATTTTATCACTAATTATAAAATACACATGTATATTAGGTGCTTGGTAAGTCTCGGGCAGTATGCTTTTCCGCACGTCCGTAAGTACAGAGCATTTCCGAAAGTGTATTACGTCATTACGTCAATGACGGTAAAGTACGGAAATTCACGAATAATGATGGATCCCCTTCCGAAGTGACGGCCATTTTGGCAATGTTAAATCCCCGTAGACTTTGAATTTGCCGCCGTGTCAATACACCGGTTGAACTCGAGGGTTCGGATAAATGGAGGAAAATTGGAAAAAAAATGATCTATCGATCGGACCTAAGTTGAAGGCCAAGGTATTTATATATTTTGAGATATGTTGCAAAAAGTGGTGACAATAGCTTGGTGGGACAGACTATACCAAATTAAATTTAACTAAGTCATTGTTCGTGAAAGCAAAATAAATTATCAATATTTTTATAATTATTTAAGAATGAAAACATAATATTAACGTTTCCTACAGTCAGACTTCCCATCGCTACTATAATGGCGATTATCGGTTTTTTGTTTTTGTTTTTTCTTTTTTTTTTTCTTTTTTTTTTAATATTCTACAGCATCGAGTTGTCCCCGTATGCAAATAGTATACAAAATAACCATGACATTGGATAGCAATTATTAATATCAGTAACATAGCAAAATATTACGTACTTAATCTTTGAAAGATTGTTAGACAAATAAAACAATTAAATTGTATGAGGAAAAAACAAAAGTGTTACCTTACCGCTTAAAATAATTTGAAGCTATCCAACACACATGTACTTTTCACGGCGCCCGCCTCTCCTAATTTGGACACGCCACAAACTTCCAAGGATAATGCAAGCGCGATAACTCTAATTATACGTAGAGCATTCCAATGTACATAAATTTTTTTAAGTAAAACTTAAAATTCATTAAGGGCACAATAAAGCTAAAAACCGTACCTTCTTCTTTACCACAAATTTATTACAACGTATACTTTTTAATTTAGTTTAAGTGCTATCTCATCTTTTATACAATAAAATTAAACTATAGATTATCCTTTTAGACAGAATAAGTGCTATTTTGATTATTCATTCACATTTATTTATACGTATTGTCCTATGTGAATGCATGCTATATGTTTTGTCTGTTTCTGTGTGTGTAAATTATGTCTGTTGTGCTGCATGCTATTGAAATTTTCACTATGTTTATATGTGTATATTGTCATTTATGTATTTTATGTATATGTCTTACTAATCATGTCGGTCAAAAGCTCTACAGAGCTTATGTTATTTGTTCTAAAAATCCGACTTAAAAAAAAATTATCTGATTCTGAGTTAGTTCTTTTAAACGGTGTATCTACAAAATTTGACCCGATAGTTATCACTCAACCAAATCAAAACAATACTTCAAGCGGAAGTACGTCATAACGTGGAGGTATCCCATACTACCTTAAAAGCTATTTCAACATTTCTAATTGAGATGTGGAGACAGATTTCTATATTTTCATATACTTACACTTTTAATTTTTTTTTCCTTTCGGTGGAGCAGAATTTCGGCTGAACATGTTAGCTGTTCTAGTTTCCGTCCTGATAGTCGTCCTGGATTCTTACAGATGCCAAACGCTTTATCCCAGCAAGCATAGATTTCATGGGTCCGATGACATTGGTATTCTCAAAACTGCACTTAGTGATTTACAGCAGCTTGTGACAAGTCAAGCTATGAAAATGGAAATTCTCGAAAAAGAGTTGAAACTTTCTAAGGGTAAGTATCCAGTAATCTCTATCTATGAATGCGTGTGATGGACTAAGGAGTCAAGAATTTGTCAAATTCGAATTAACACTATTTGGAAATTTTGAATATAAATAGAACCTTTTTTTCTTTGCTGTCATAGAGATTTTCTTTATATTCCCGATATTCTCTAAAAGAAGATTTAAAAATTCGAGGAATAGGAATGGGAAAAACATAATCCCATGTTGAATTTTGCCCACTCTCTTACTCTGCCTTACCCTAGAGTCATCAATTCAATTAATCAAAATCTACACTACATATACCTAAGGGTTCCTGCATATTGATATGACTAATCGTGTCCTAGCTGATTTTGAGAAAAAAAGATTTTTAAAGACTTTTTCCTATATACCTTTGGAAAATTATGATCCCCTATTCTGATCCAACACTATCCTTTTGGGGCCACGAATTGAACCTGGAATTTGTACTACATTAGGATACTTGCATATCGACATGACTAATTATGACCCTTATGTTCCTGAAAAGATTATCTATAGATATTCCCGTGTAAAACGTTTTGAAGGTCAAAATCAGTTTGGGACGTTATTCATTTTTATTAACACCATGCCTGAGACTCTACAATATATGGTAAATATACCAAATTCATTTATTTTATATTTTATAAACCCATTATTTTATTTGGGTATGAATTTGATGCCACCCTTATGCTTCAACTGCGTAAATTGATCTATGACTGACCCAATCAGTTGATTATTGCTATTTATACGTCCTGGCCCATTTATCCATAATTATTACTTGATTGTATTTATTAATCGTAAATTATTATTTTTGTTGTTTTAATAAATTCATATTTAGAGTTCAACAAATCTCTTTAATTAATTTGAAAGGTAAATCTCAGGCTTAAGAGGCTCCTCAAATATGTTTGTAACATCCAGCGTCGGGTAACGTTACACTAGCTTAACGTCAGCATATGCAAATGCAAAATAATTATCCTATTATGTTCATAAAAGAGTGTATATATATATTTTTTTTTTAATTTAATTTAATGATTAATAATCCTGACTAAAAATGAATATTTTTGTTTCAGAGATCATCGCCTTTACCGCTGTATTAAACTATAATACTTCTATATCTGATTTGAAAAAAGGACAGAGAATCATTTTTAATGGGGTAATCACTAATTTGGGAAATGCATACAACGACAAAACAGGAACATTTCATTGTCCAACAACAGGATTATATGGATTCTATTATAATCTCCACACTCTACGTGACAAGTATGCTATGGTAGCTCTGACGAAAAATGGTGACGGGAACTACGCTTACGCATTCTCTGGAAATCATTCATCCGGAGAATCAGATGGCAGCACCTTTGTTGTGCTATCACTGATGAAAGGAGACAGAATTTGGCTGAGGGCAAATAAGGATTGCTCAACAGGCGAGGTGTTGAAATACCAAGTGAATACATTTTCTGGATTTCTTCTACACGCCTACTAGTTTTATTACTGTTTTCCCCTATATTTCTTCTCCATTTTTCTTTTATAATGTATCATTTTTTTAAATTGCTGCAAAACATATTGCCCTTCAAGACCGTTTTTTTTTCTAAAACATGTATATAATCTGATTGGTGTACTTTACTAAGAAAACATTAAAAGATATTTACTATTAAACATGGGTTGATATTTCGTTGTTCACACAGTTAGTACTGAGTGGTAAGTTGTTTCAGAATATCATTATACAAGTCAGAGAAGAATGTGTATTGTTCAATTAAAAATAAATGAGCACGGAACTCTACTTTAAGGACCCTCTATACACTGTTTTTTGTTGTTTTTTTTTTTGGTACTTTGATAAAATAATATAGCTAAAGGAGAACATATTAAAATTACCTAATTCATTTTTTAACATAAGGGTGTGTGCCATTTTTACATAGGAAAAAATCTTAAAAGTCAATGATGTACAGAAAAAGAAAAATCGCGTTTGCTTACTCAAATGGGGGAAATACATGGATATAAAGTTTTTAATTACTCTATCTTGGTCATATATAGTGATTATAATACTTGAATTAAATACAAATTATGTAACACTGTGCAATTTATTTTATACCTATCAAATGAGGGTTCATTCTAACTACACAAGGTACCTAAAAATTAGTTTACAGTGTAGAGAGTTTCCTTAAAAAACAAAGAAAAAAGTGTTCTCGACTCTAGCGTCATGCAATAGCGACGTCTCGTAGATTTGATTCTATTATTACATTTCAACAGAGAAATACTGTAATTTATTTCTAGAATAAAAGTGATTTTTTTTTTATCATAGTGTGAAAGAATATCAGCTGTGCGGCTAAATCCTCTATTTCCCATCCCTTCATGATGATTGTCATAAGAAAAAATACTTCCTGGTCTGTTATAAGATAAAAAGAGAGAAAAAACCACCAGACAGAGACAAAATCTGCAAATCTTTCTACAAATATGTTGACGATATCCATGTTTCCAATGTTTTCAATCTCAAAATCGCTAAGCTGTGACGTCTCAACCGCTCAACTATGAAATCACAGTCTAAGGCACTGTTTTACGAAAAGGCAGAGACTAAAGGAAAATGTAAGAAATAGAAAAAATGCTGTTTTGTAGTTGAATATGGAATTTATTTCATTCTTGACACAGGATTCTTTTTATATTTTCACTCGTGCCTCGCACTCCTGAAAATATCAAAGAATTATGTCCCACTAGTGAAATAAATTCCATATCCAACGAATAGACCAAAAATAAAAAAAAAATAAAAGAATATACTATGTTTACGAGGTTTTGTGAATATGTAGAATCGGTAATCAGAATAATTTCAAGAATTATTGAAACATCTTTACGCACATCCTCTCCTATTTGTCTAAGTTGCATTTGTACATATATGTCGCCTTTCAGTGTCTCCCATTTTCTTCCTTTTTACATTAAAAAAGCATTATTTTTTTTACCTCGTTAATCAGTTTCCACATTTTCTGTAAAGTATTTTCTATTTATCTATAAAAGAGTATTTTTTAAACATAAGTTATCATGTCATTTCTTTATTGAGATATAATCACGAGTTCCCATACATCGGGTATTGGAACCTTGTACATCACCTTGATAGGAAGTTAGGTTGATCGAAAAGTTTTCGAGGAGAAATGCTAGTAATAACAAAAAGCAGCAACGTGTACAAACTTTCAACCTTCTGGAAAATTGGAACCTGATCCTATCTTGAACTTACAGAAAAATCAAATGGATGATATGAGAAGATGAGATGGGATAAGACACCTAGTACGGAGAGAAGACAATGATAATTATTACCCAGCCTTCTATATAACTTTTTATTAGGCATTTTAAAATGTTTACTGGTTTATTTTAATGATTTTGCATCTCGTAAACCAATAAAACTGTTACTTGGTCAGAGAGTAAACTGTTGTATGGCAGAACTGATCCATTTCGGAACTTTAAAGCTATATTTTGAATTATGTAAAAGGAAGTATTTTCATCCTATTCGATTTGAAATTATCATATGTGAAAACTAATCACGATACCGATATGTATATAAATGACACCAAAGTGCGATGGGACTCCAAAGTGTCATGGTCTGCGCCAAAATCCGATGGTCTGACACTGCAAAGTCCAATGGTGTGGGAAAATCAACCTTTTTGATGTCATAGTATTACTGCTCCATATTACGATGCCGAGACACGCCAAATTCCGATGGTGTTACATAAATAAAATGAATATTATATATTTGATAGAGGAAGTGAAATGACTCACTAGAATACGCTAAAATATAAATCTACTACTAGGCTTTATTTCTCGAGTGGTTGTGAGGCTAACCTAAATCGGTCGAAAGTGTGTAGCATCTTGGGTGGAGAAAGACTAGCCCTAATCAGTGGAATAGTGTGCAAAGACATTGTAGGAGTATCTACAGTGTAATGGGATGCTTTTATGTAAAACTGAGTAGTTAACTCCCTGCTTTTGATCTCTGAGATTGATCTAAGTTTGGTCAATGTAACACCACTTTTACACTGTGATGCTCATCTATCAATTGGACTGATTGTTATCTTTTTGTACTTTGAAATGTTTTTTTTTTTTTTTCAAGTTTTCAAATGTATTACTTTGTCTAAGTACTAAAGCGCCCCATCAAAGATCTATGGACAATGAATCCACATATCTTATTCCATTCTTTATTAGGTAACCGTTCACGGTAGCTCAGACGGTAGAACGCTCGCTTTGTGATCGGGGGGTCGTGAGTTCAAATCACGACCGCGACTGACCTAAGTCGATAAAAAATGGGTAACAACTGTTCCTCCGCCATGCGCTCGGCACTTTGAAGTGAAAGTTGCGGGTCCTTGGGATGAGACCTTAAAAACCGAGGCCCCGTCACTGGGTGAAATAAGCAGTTTCCCATCATGGGAAACTATACGGAAACCACATGGAAACCTCAAGTTTACATCATGTTTCCCAGTGGTTTCCGCAGCGGATGCCAGGTTATTCCGTCAAGTTTCTGTGGCACGGAAACTACTACGCTCCGATTCCATTAGGTATCCCGAACCACGGAAACCTCGGGAAACCTGAAGTTTCCCAAGCTTCCATGTAGTTTCCCGTAATGGGAAACCTGAAGATTCCACTAGTTTCCATAATTAGGAAACTACGTGGAATCGGAGCGTAGTGGTTTCCATGGAACTGGGAAACTGGATGGAATCCTCAGGTTTCCCATGAATGGAAACTAGAGGAAACCTCATGATTCCTCAAGTTTCCATGATTCAGGAAACTACATGGAATTGGAGCGTAGCAGTTTCCGTGTTATGGAAACTTGGTGGAATTATCTGGTGTCCTATAAAAGGAAATTACAGGGAAAATTCAAGATTCCCTTATTTTTCTGAGACGGGAAGCAATGTGGAATTGCGGTGTAATAGTTTCCATACCATGGAAACTACAGGGTAGGTTGAGCATTTCAATTTTGGGAAATGACTGACAGGCAACTGGAAGCTCAAGGATCCCTGTATTTTCCATGGTAAATCTTTCTTTTCTAGAATGTGAAAAGAGAACAGCAGTTTTAAATCAAAATATATATTATTAATTTCCTTGGTAAACTGTGTTTTCTTTTCAAAATCTATTAAAAAAATGTATAAAGAAGAAAAAGCATTATCAAATCATATGTTTAATAATTCATTTGATGTACAAAAACATTATTTTAAAATTATATCAAAATAAATAAAATCATATATCTTAGGTAAACAATTTAGTAGTCTTTCACATCTAAGTCCATTCATAAACTTGATTAAATACTCAGTACTTCTTTCAACATCAGCTTCCCTTGTATTTTCTTTCCATCATCTGCGATCTGCAATATATTTTCATAAAAAATTATTTTTTGTAAGAATTGTATGCTTGAATATTATTAAGAAATCTGACAAGATCACTCAATGTCCTTTTTTGTACCAATATCAGTGATAAGTTTCAGTCTTTAAATTTAATGACCATGAAATCAGAATAATGAACATTACATAGTACATGTAATGTTTTAAGCCAGATAAATATCAAAGCAGGTATGATTGAGAATATGACCATCTCATAGAACACTGCTTTTAGTTGAGTCAATTGGAGAGAAATGTGCTCTGGACAAGGATATTACAAATCTTTTTTTCTTATTAATTGATATTAGACCTAGAAAATTGGTTAAAGATCACTATACACCCTTCATCCCAAAGCACACAATCCAGATCATAGCAAGGGAGAAAAATTATGCTCTGGACAAGGACTTTAAATAAAGATATATAGTGTATTTTGATACTGACCTTTGACCTAGATAATTGGTCCAAGGTCACTTTTTACCCTCCATCCACAGGCACTCTACGAGTTAAATTTGAGTGAGATTGGGCGAAGAGGAGAGAAAATATACTCAGGACAAGTGATATCAGATGGACAGACAGATCATCTCATGGCATCCACAGAACAGGACCCTAAAAAATCAATGCATATATATGTAAAGCTATATCCATATAAGTCAATATGAATTCATCATATATTGCATTGCATACACATGCTTTAATCATGTTTAATACCTTATGAATAATTTCAAATTGCATGTACACTCAGTTTACATACAAATAATCTAAATTTCATCAAAGACGACCAACATAACAGCCATTCAAGATTTAATTAATCAACATTCAGTACAAGTTCTATATGCTATACCATATGTACAGACACATACTAGTATTATTTACCTGCATTCTAAATCTTGTTTTATGTCACTGAAAATTAAGGTGATAGCCATTAACCAATTTTAGCCCCAATTTACATACATGCATGTTGTAATGTTTGTTCAAGACTTCCCATTTATAAATATTACCTTATAGTATATTTAGTTAACATATACCTACATTTAAAGTTTCAATGTGTTTCACTGTTTTCTAATATTTTAGAAATTACAGTCATCAAAATACTGACCAGCCAGAAATCAGTAAAGGTGCATGTCCTTATTTTTCATTCTTGTATTGTTTCATTTAACATGTTT